CCCCAAAACCCCAAAACCCCAAAACCCCGACAAAATTAGCTACCAGATGAACTCCGGCATTATATTTAAATGAAATATGTTATAAACGATATATCATTGCTAGATCGATTAAAAGTATAATAAATAGATATTCTTTGAAATATACAAGGTAGTTGAATATCCATTCATTTATATCACTTTTAGGTATGTCAACATTAGGAGAAACATCTAAAGATGTAAACGTCAGCAAACCAGCTGGAGGACTAGGAATGGGACTCCTAGCAAAATTCGGGTAATTTTCTTAGTATTAATGTGCCTTCTAGATAAAAGCTATCAATGCAAACTTAAAACCTAGTCTTGCAAGCCAAGATTAATTTTATCGAAGACTTGAACAAAGAAATTAATGTATAGAAGAAGCAACTCGAAAACGATGTTAAGTTTAGAGAGGAGAATGAGCAGGACAATGTGCTCATTCAAAGATAGATTGATCAGTTAAGAGTCAGAGTCGAACAAACTAGGATCATTGTCAATAGCAAGAGAAGAGACCCCTATAAAGTTTAAAAGCTCATCACACTTAAAGAAAGTCAAGCTAATGTTAGGTAATCTATATCATTCTTACTTTGATAGATCTTAAATGACGACCTTAGCCGAGGCAGAAAAGAATCTAAGAGAGGAGATCATTGACATTAAAGCAGCTTTGGTTGTTCAAGAAAGAATCCACATGGAACTAAACGAAAAACTTCAAAGGTATCTTGAAGACCTTGAGTAGAAAGTATCTTTGGAAACTAAGATCCAGACAACATTAGAATCTATTGAGAAACTCAAGTTACAGCTCGAGAAGCTATATAGATTGCAAGCAAAGCTGAGAAAAGGGGGTACAGAGAGAATAACAATCAGTGAGACACTTACCACCATCTCAAGCATTTTAATATTGATGAATGCCTACGAAAGATAGACCATCTATCTTGAAAACTAATACTTAGAAACAGGAGTAAAACTCTACATCACTCTTGATCAGTCAAGAAAGCTAGTTTCAAGAAATAACCTTGTAGCAGACAAGCTTCCTCTTACACTCGGTACTCTTAAAGACGAATATATCCTTGGAATTCTAGAAAGATGGTAATCAATGGACTTGAAATAAAATGAAGACACCGAAATAGAGTTCTCAAAGATGTCAGTAGCTTACTTCTTCAGAATTTTCATGGTCGAGGTCAAGATCTAAGAAATCATAAATTACCTTGAGCAAGAAGTTAAGGATTATGAAAAGCACAGGGAATTGCTTCAAGATCAAGGAAAGAAAATTATATCAATTGAGTTCGAGCAAGTCCAAATTTAAGACATCGAAGAGGGAAACAACCTAAACAAGATAGTTAAAGCCAGAATGGAACATTTCTAAAAGCTTATTATTGAGTATACTGACGTCAATGAACTATAAAAGTCTGGTGTTGATAGATTCCAGGGAAAAATTAGGGTTAAATGTGTGAGTGAAGTAAAGGAAAGAACTAGACTCTCCGACATTTTGAGTAAGGATGGTCTTCAAAGAGCACATAGAATTGTTGATATTCTTTCAAAGTATTACCATGATGTAGAAAAGGTAATGAAAATCAAATGGCTCAATCATCATACAGACTTCTTTATGGGTTTTAGAAGAAATGTTATGGATCTGACAAGTGAAAATAATGATTTGACAGCGAACTTTCACATTTTGAAGTTGGTTTTAGATAAAATAAAGAATTCTTAAAAATAGATTGACAAGGCAGATATCTAAAAAGCTGATAAAATTATCAGAAAGCTAAATAAGTTTTTAGACTCAGTCAATAAAGATCATGTTACACTTGTGGATATTGAAAGAAGACTAAAAGATCTTGATGTTGAGTACGAAAAGCTAAAGAAGATTGTATTTGAAGAAGCTAAAAAGTAGGTTGAGGAGGGTCTCAAGCATAGAGACACCTAATCAAGTGATCTAAATAAAAAAGAAAGAGATTTGGATGCATATCTGAACAATAAAAAGGCAGAGTTTGATTTAATTAAGAATGACATTGATGATAATGATATTGACGTTCTTACCAAGCTACTTGTCTTTGAAGGATAATTAATAGATGCCTGCTAGGATGGTGAGCTTGCTCATGAATAATAAACCTAAATCTAATAGAAGATAGATAGACTTAGAAGGTAATACCAAAATATTGGAACAGTAGATATGGCTCAACTTGATGATGCCTTTGAAATTATAGATATCTTGAGTGGTCTAGAAATACACATAGTAGGGACTGAACAAATTATTGATTAAGCTTATAAGAAAATCAAAGATTTTGAGCAAAATATTAAAGACATCTTGAAATCTATTAGAAATAAGAGAAAGATAGACTGCGATAGGTCAATTTCAGTAACTTTTGGCCAATTAGATAAGCTGATAAAGCTTATTGATAAATACAACAATGAAATCGAAGTAATTAAGAAAGATTAAGAGAACATGAAAAAAACAGGGATGAAGGATCAAGAGAAAGATAGAGATGCTTTTCAGTTTGATTAAAGAATTCTAGATAGAATGGATCAACTTAAAGAGAGTGGAAAGAAAAGAGATGAGTTCAAGATATTACTAGATGCTTATAAAAAGTCCTATGACTCAAAGAAGGATCTTACTGACTCAGATACTGGCTCAGAGTTTCAAAGACTTCAAGTAGATAGTGATAGTCTGAAAGCTTCAGTAGAGAGAGAAATCTAAAATTTGGAAGGATTTGTTTACTTTGATATTCTAGCCACTAAAGCTGATAGCTAAGCATTACAAAATAAGCACAAGTACAAACAAGAAAAGCACGAAATATGTATGGATCTAAGAGCTAAGAAAAATGAAGATTTCAAAGGATGGACAGCACATCTTAAATCTATGAAAGCAAGACAGTAAAAACTTGAGGATCTTCTTAAAGGAATATAATTCTCTAGGGAGCATTAGCAAGCCTATGACAAATTCAGAAATAGACTTGACCAAAATGAACTTGTTGTAAAAAGAGCAGATGATCAAACAGATTCAAATGCCAAGATTCTCTATAGTGAAGCAGCAGATTTAGACTTACTACAGGAATAAGTTGTCAAAACTTAAAAGATAGAAGATATACATTAAATGCTAGAAGCCCTTAAATTCTTAACAGATACTTTTAACGATGACATTGAAAACTATGATGCTGACCTGACTTAATTGGAAAAAGATATAAATGACTATCTAAACAAGTTGAAGGCATCCTCATATCAAGATTGCTAAAATCTCCTTGACAAACTCGATAATTCACTTGAAAAATTAAACAATAAGTTAAAAGAAGTGGACGGTGATTTTGACACAGTTTACGGTGAATTCAACCCTATCAAGGATAAACTCAAGAATAAAGATACCATTTAGAACTAACTTGATAACCTTGGAAATGATCAAAATGGTATCAAGGGAAAGAGAGATAAATTTGCTGCTTAGATCAAAGCAATGAAAGATAAATTCGCAAAGATTGACCCCAAAAATGTATCAGTCAAAGATTGTGAAAATATTCTACAAGAGGGTGGATTGCTAGATGTTCAGATCAATGATGAGTATGATAAGGATGTAGAAGTACAAGATAAACTGAAAAAACTTTTAATGAGATTAAGAAACGCTGGAAAAGATGAAGAAGAAAAGCAGAGACTTCTTGCAAAACTAAAATCCTTACTCAACGACAATAGAGATCTACTTAAACTTATGAAGTAGCACATTGATAATGCTGATTTAAAAGCTAATGACTTTGAGAAACTTTATAAATCAATGGTAGATAGCGAGGATTATGAGGCAAGGAAGCCAAATAACTAAAAGAAACTAGTAAAAGTAAGAGGTATCAAGGGTGAAACTGAAAAATATACTGGCTTAAGAAGTGATGCAGAGAAATAGATGGATAAGTTCACAGATGCTTATATTAATGGACTACAAGATCTAGATGATCTTGAAGATGCCATTAAAGATTAAACAAAGTTAAATGATGCACTTAAGGGATATGTGAAGATACTTGGTGATATTGTTAAGGGCCTTGATAGAAGAAGATTGAAGACTTAAGATGCAGAGGTCAGAAAGAATGCGAACAAGCACTAGAAGCTTCATGATGATATTCAGGAAATTGCTAAGAAAACTCAAGCTAACCTTGACTAGATCAGCATTTAGATAAAAACTGTGGATAAGGCAAAAGTTGAGTCACTTGAAAAGTAGCATGCCGAGTTCCAAGGAAGATTAAACTCATTCAGAACTAAATTTGACAAGATCAGCGCTTTACTTAAAGCACTTGTTGATGAAATCAAGCCAAAGGATCTCGAAGCCACGGAAACTGTTGGAAAACTTGCCGAATATATTGATAGACTTAGAGGAATAGGACAAGCTTTGAAAGAACTTAAGGGTGAAATCGATAAACTTTATGCAGAGGTAGATGATTTGCTTACAAGTCTATCTTCTCTTGGAGCTGAAAAAGCTTTAAGAGATCTTATCAATAGATTATTAGATGCTCAAAAGAATAACCAAGAGATTATTGACCATATTAAGAGAATGATTGCATTGACAGATTCTTATGATGGTTATACAACTGGAGCAGAAGATGGAAAGTTCTATTCTGGACTCAATGCTAGATCAAAGAAGCTCTTACAAGAACTTAAGGATTAAGATGCTTAGTTTACAAAAACAATAGGTGATATTGAGAAAATTATTGGGGTTGTTAAGAATGATCCAAAAACAGGAGATCCAGTGAAGGATAATGCATTATAAGAAAAAAGAAAAGGTGAAATTAACCAGATAAAGGGTTTAGTTGATAAGCTTATTGATGCCAAAATCAAGATTGACGACGAGGCAATAGGAAACAAAAAAAAGATGTCTGATTATATTTTAGAGGATAAGATAGGAAGAAGAAAGGAGGAGATCGACGAATTAGAGAGATAGCATGAGGATTATGCTGCTCAGATTGCTGGCGGAAAATTAAAAGCAGAGGAAGAGATTGCAACTAATGCAGCAGTTGCTGGTCAAAAGGCTAATGTTGAAAAGTTGCAAAAATGCCTTGCAGAATTAGCTCCATTAGAGGAGAAAATGACTGAAATGGTGGCAAAAATATAAGAACTCTAAGTTTAGTGCAGTGAACTTGGAGAAAATACTCAAAATATTCCATAAGACTAAAATATAGTCGAGATGAGATTAAACTACTACGATGAACATCTAATACTTAAAAAGAAAATAAGAGACTTGAAGAAAGAATTGTAAGATCTTTGGAATAGAGTCTAAGCTTGGATAACTCAACTCACAACTCTTCTAGGTCAAGAGCCAGCCAAGGTCGCTGTTAAACTTGCATTTAAAGCTACAGATGATATTGACAAGATGCTTGGTGAAATTCTTGCTAGACTTGGAATTCCTGTTCCTATTTCTAAGATTGGAGGTGGTTACTATATGTTTGGGTCTAAAAAGATTTTCTGTAAAATCATCAATGGAAAATTGGTGGTTCGTGTCGGTGGTGGTTACATGGGTATTGAAGAATTCATCATCACTTACGGCAAAAATGAGGTTGACAAAGCTGGCTTAATCAAAAATCTTGAGGATCAAGTTAAGAACAGTGGAAGCAGTGGTTTCAGTGCTGCCTCAATGGTCAATAAAAACAAAAAAGTTGCCAAGAAATGATTTCAAACTTAACTTAAATTTTATTTTTACACTTAGATAAAATCTATTATTTCTATTTAGTATGTATGTAACCTTCTATTGGGGTTTTGGGGTTTTGGGG